CTAGGGAAAAGGGATGTCATTGTTAGCATCTAGTAAAGATCTCTCTGTGAAAGATAAAAGTAAAAATATTACCAGTGAGAGAAATTGACACAAGAAAAAAAGAGACTGACAGAAGATATTATGACTCGATGGTACTCTCCAAGGTCAATAAAATGTTTAAACAAAATTTAAAAACAGACCTAACTTCTGCTCGGAGAGTTATGAAATGATTGATCATCATAAAAGATTGCTAACGTTGTCAAAGAATCCCTACAACCTGTCTTGATTTGTCACTAAATGCAGTGTTCTTTGTCAAGAGAATTGTATATCTCTAGCTACTAGTGATTTTGTAATCTCAGCACCCTGTCCCAGTATACACAATATTGATTGTGATATTGCCTAATGACATTTCTGTAGTCCCTGGAAGACTTCCCATAATTGGGACACATATATTTGCCACACTAATTCGACCCCCGCCCCAGTGTACAGTGGCCTTGTTTGATGGGGTAATCAAATCATCTGCCGCCAAATGAAACTATGTGTCAGTTCTACTTCCTGTATTAGATCCAATAGGGTGGAACCATTTCCGAAAGGGGAGGGACAAACTCCAAGGTAGCATTTTCTATTTGATACATTTATTCAATGTAGATCACATTGGTAAGGTATTTTAGTATTTCACGTGTCATTCCAAAGTGCATTTTTCTATCTATGCCCTTATTAGCCATTCTGATACTGAGATTGAGGAGATGGAAGAATTTAGTCTGAAATGACTGCTAACACTAAGTTTTAGTATGAAGGTAGAGTGGAGATAAAACGGAGCACATATGCCGTAGCCTCTACCAGGCTTCGGGAAGCGGCTGAAAAGGGAAGAAATTGGCCAAATAGACAGATGATATGGGCAAACTGTTTTCTAAGCGCAGAGCCTGGCAAATCATGTGTCTATTTGACCAATTTCTACTCTTTCCAGCCCCTTCAGTCACAAAGCCTGGTAGAGGCTACAAATAGGGTTCTCTGCTAGATTTCGAGCTGAGAATTCTCGTTATCTGTTCCAAGCCGGAAAGCCTTGATGCTTTGACGCCACATACATATGTCTTATCATGCCAAGACACATCCCATTATAGGTTTATCTGTGCACTAACACTACAGCCAGCACAGGGCAGAGACATATCATATCACACATAAGGTTTATCTTCTCTCACATTTGGCTGATATCCAGGGCAGGGCAGTTTGTCTGCACAGCCATGTGGAGATCCTGAATGTTATTGTACACATCTGTCTACTCTGTTAGATTGTACCACCCTTTGCCTTCTTATCCATCCTGTCCTTTAGGATTCGTTTCCTGTATTACATAATTATCTAAGGAAGTTATTGAAGATATCTTGCCCTCCCGTCCCAAAACTTAACTAAGATCTAAAGGGAAACCAAGTCAATTTCAGGACGACAAAACAAACAAACAAAAAATCAGGATGAGAAAATCTGTCTGATATTGACATTTACTGCTATTTCTTAGCAAGTTTTTATCAATATTTTGTACTTGAAGCATTTAGAAATAGCCTCAAAACAAGCCCTCTATATTTGGGTACCATTAAAAAATAGCTAGAACCAGCCTGCAGTACATGTATATAACAAGCAACTGATTTCCATCAGTAACATTGCATTTTTACCTCACAGATATCAGTATGCTACATGTATGTTTAAGGATTGATTCAATTTTTACTACATTACATGTAGTACATCAATTTTTACTACATTACTACATAAAAAAATTGACTTTGCAATTCTAGCTTTGCCACCCTGAAATTGCATTGGATGCCTTAAAATGTTGTGGGAATATTCCATTTTTGATATGGAATGTTTAAAGCAGTGTAATGTTGACAGTGCATCTTTTCCTGACAGATCCATCACCCCCCTTTTCTACGTGGTTTCCTCCAGCCTCAATTGATTTGTGGCGGAACTTAATAAGCTATAAAAAATTTTGCCAGATTAGACACCAGTTGCATGACCAAGTACCGCGGGTGTTCCCTGGTGGCATGACTGTATTGTGAACCATATGTGCTTCCCTGTTCTATAATCCATTTATGGTTGGATAGCAGGAGTACAGGTAGACATAACAATTTCATCAGCTACTTCTTGGAATAGAATATATATGGCAGGCTTGGAAACCTCACTGGAGAAGGAGGAGGTAGTTCAAGGACTTTAAGCTATAGTATGTTTTCTATATTTTACTATATAAGCGATCACTGTTTACATGATATACATGTAAATTATTTGAAGACATATGAAAACTATCGGTAGGCAAATCAACCAACCATCACCCGCTTTTTGTGTACCATGGCGAACGCTCGTATTGTCTTGGAATCCTGGAAAACCTTACCCCCCTGTTTGCAAATATTGTTTCATCATTCTAGCTGCTACTTCATGCTGTATTATCATGCCAGAGGTCAAATTAAACTACCACCTACATATGTACCTAAGTTAGTGCAGGTTAAGTTGGAACTGTGCAGATATTTTTAATGTCTAACCTACATTTGTCAATGTACAGGATTTACATACAAATGTAGGTGTATGTGGATTTCTATTTGCTGCATTGATCGTTACTTGCTATGAAGTACAAAAAAATAAGGGCAATGGTTTCTGAACATTTCTTATTATGATCCATACTTCCTAAATTTTGAGTGGTGCAGGCAAAATTTGTCAGTGTTACAGGTATGGCTGGTTATTTTGAGCATTGCATGCTTATAATGTGTGATTGTATTTAGACAGAGATACATGTTGAGTCATTTTTGATACACCAGCCCTTCCCCATACACATTTCTGTAAGGCCACACCAATTTAATTTCTTGGTTAACGGATTCGCCCGCTTCATTTTTTTCTGATTTGCAAATAAAAATAGAAATTCAGAATCAACTGCAAAATGCTCATAGTTTGCCCTGAACAGTTGAAAACAGTCCTTTTGATCCTAGTTGTTACAGTTATTCCATCTTTCAATGGAGTAGTATCATTAAAAGTTCAAAATTCATTGTTTAAATTTTGAACCAGCCTGGTGTGTTGACTTCATAGCTCCTATCGTACCATTTTCGGCCATAATAGGATACCTAGGCCTGTTTTTATTTTTTATTTTTTCGCCCGCCCGATCCATTATTTTTCTACAAAAATCCATTAACCAAGAAATTAAATTGGTGTGGCCTAAGAAACTAATGATTGCATTGCTTCTGCGGTGAGAAACTAATCATGATGCAAGTAGGGCATATTTTCTCCCAACCCTCTCCTGCCTGGTTTGTATATGATCAGCTTCCATATGCTGCCAGACAATTTCATGCATGAATGTACTCTGACCTACCTGTTAACAGATGAGAACAAGCTGAAGGGTTCTTTGATTTTCATATTTGTCTCTGCTCTAGTCTACTGGGTACGGGATACCATTTTGTTTGCCAATGATGGTGTACCATATAAAAATGCATTTGATTATGATTTGTTCCAAATCACACATTATCTAAATCATACATTAGTCAAATGAAAGCAAGCAGAAAATGTTATACTGGTACATAAGGACCACCTGGCCTTTATGACCCAGTGCTCGAAATTCATTTTGCTGAATAGGTGCACTGGTGCACCCAACCTAAAAAATTGCGTGCACAAAACGTTTTCTGGATGCACCATATAAAATAGAATAAGAATGTAGCAAAATTATGTTTCAGTTCTAAAGAAAAGTACTTCTACAATGATTTTATAATTTTTCTGAAACTTATAGAATTTAAAAATATGCTGTATACTAGTAATATATTTTACAGCTTTACATATGTAAACTGATGAAAATATTTGGGTGCACTGGTGCACCCACAGAAAAAAATTGCTCCAAATTTGGGTGCACTAACGTGCACATGCACCCAGTATTTCGAGCCCTGTGATGACCACTGTTTGGTGGTCCCTTATTATTAGACTCTAGTAATTTTTCTCATCAACACAAGTGACCACCTGTCCTCATATATCAGATTTTATTGGTGCCCTGAGTGGTCTTCTTAGGCAGTTTTTTTAGACTGGTAAGCAGAAAATATGTACTTAAAATTAATGACTTTTATGAGCTGTGCTGAAGCTAATATATTACTTTCCAAGCAAAGGTTGGTGGGAAAGATTATGACCTTTCTATCATAATTCATATGCCCCATTTTCTTGTAGGGAATATATTATATTCCTGACAAGTAGGTCATTCTTGCACAACAATGCAACTGTCTGATTTCAAAGTATAGACAGAGGGAACCCTTGTGAGTGAGAAGTGAGAAAGGTCATTAGTTGATTAGAACGGAAAGCCTAAGGGTGTTCGGGATCTGTTTTGTAAGGAGCCACTAGACAGGCGATATGCCAATGATTAGATAATAACTGGTTTCCGTTGGGGATTATCTCAGGTAGAGGGCCATCCCTGAGTTCAAACGACAACCTGTTATAACCATCAAGAGGTGGTCTTTACAACACAGCTTCAGCACTGATGATAGAAGTATTGTATGTACATTTTAGGAAATCAAAATACCACATATGCAGGTTAGTACAAATAGAACTGGAGTTGTATATGTGCAGGTATTTCTGATGTCTACCTGCACGGGTCTAGTGGTCCATGTACTAGATTTGTATATACACTACATGTAGGTGTATGTGGACTTTTATTTGCTGCATTGACTGCAGTGCTAACCACCTATTAAGTATAAAAGAAATAATGATAGGTTTCGGAACAGTTTTTAGTATGATTTATACTTCCTAAAGTCTGAGTGGTGCAGGTAAAACTTGTCTGGTGCAGGTAATTTTCATTGTCATCTGTGCAGAAAAAAGTATTTCAAGCCCCAGAAATGTATGTGATTGTAAGTAAGTCATAAGTAGACATGAAATACAGCACACATGGTGCCCCTCAATAAGTTTTTGGCATTTGTATGTTATTTTCCTTTCTATGGTCCGCTATTTGCCATGTAAATTGTATCTGAATGATCTTCCTATTAATCATGACGTCCTTTTGTTTCTGTTTTGCACAGAAAAGTTGCTACTGAAGACAGAAGGTTGCCTGGTGTAGGAGAACTGTTCATGCTGAGGAACATTTGTTAACTCTGAACACCAGCTGACATGGGGTGTGGACTCACATGTGTCAAGTACCTCCTCTTCATCTTCAACTTCATATTCTGGGTAAGTCCATAATTACATCATACAGACATTGCTCAAGTGTCTCAACCTTTCTTCTTCTTCCAATAATGCCCATCTGCCAAGAAATCTGCAATAACTGGGCATGTTTTTGTGAGTAATACGAAAGGAGGGTTTTCCCGTCATGATGATTTGTAGTGAATCGCCAACTTTTAGACAGTAGAATTTACAGTAGGTCTCTGCAGAAAATATGATCTAGTTGCAACCTTTCCAGCAGGTTTATGTTCTTTATGCTCAGCAAATGTTCATATTGTATAGGGTTTCAATAGTGTATAATGGATTTCAGCAAGTATTCTAGGCAGTGTGATTTTTTTTTTCCATCATCTTAATTTTAGACATAATGTCATGTCAGCAAAATTCTGTCAAATGATGGAAAGACACTGGAGGTTCTGTATCTGTATCTGTATAGCCAGTATAACTGACTTTCGGCCTAACACACCAGGTTTACTGGGGTTCAGCATTGTGGTCCTAGTTTTACAACCTGGGACCCTGCTGCAGGTTTTGACCCCAAGTCTGTGTTAGTCATTATTTGTACATCTGGAGTAACTCAGTGTACCTGGCACCACAGGCTGGGAATGACTCAGGAACATCATTTCTCACCAGGCTCAAGCACACATATGACCTGATTTACACGCAGGCAAAGACCTGATGGTACAAAAACTGCATGCGTCAAATGTTTCCTACATGTCAATTGACCTGCTTTGTTGTACCTTATCTGGAGGGCTGGCGTGTGATCCGAATGCCAACTTATATGCAGGAAAAATTTTATGTATGCAGTTTTCGTACTGTTCCAGCCTACTGTTATATTTCACTCCATAGCACAGGTACACAGGTGAGATACATTTTTGTATGGTGAGGGAGATGGAGTGAAATATGGTGTAGTTGCTTGCAAGCAAATGTCTGGCCCTTCTAGCTCTTACTTTAGTTCCAATTCACCTGTGTATGTGATGATGTGTATAACTCATACACCCATATAATTAACCATAGTAACAAACCCTTGGGTACTACAATAGGAGCCAATAACAGAAATTATAAGAATCATAACTCAAGTCACCCCCTCCCAGGAGCCCTGCACAAATTTGGTACGCCCCACACAGATGTTACTAATTCATTGGATCCAGACAAATGAGTTTCCCTGTGTGAGCTACAGGAGACTTGCAAGCTGCTGCCAGATTGTCTCATGTGGGCTACATAATGTAGGACTGAGCCAATTATACATTGTGCGTATGGATTTGTAAAAAAATGTTTTGTTGAAACCTTCATGTCATATTGATTTACATATGAGTAAAAACCTGATAGTATGAAAACTGCGTATATATGCATGGAAATTTTTCCTGTGTGTAAAAATCGGTCTGGTTTGATGTACGATTGTCCTTTACCTCAAGGGCTGGAGTACGGTCCGTACATGTGTTGTTGACGCAAAAAAACAGATACTCAAGCTACTGGATATGATTTTGGAAACGGTCAGACATTTCAGGTAGCATCCACCACCTTTCATCAGTGACACTGGAGAATTGTGACAATGTGACACTGAGTTGTGACAGTGTTGCTGACAGAATTAGAAGATAGTGGATGCTACCTGAAACGTCTGGCCAGTCCCCAAATCATATCCAGTTGCTTGAGTAACTGATTTTGGCGTATCTTATTACCTGGATGTCCCATATGTGTTCTTGACGTGTCAATCTTGCGTTCAATTTTCATACAGTAGGTTTTTACCAGTGTGTAAAAATTTGTACCTTTGCTGGACACATCTGGAAGAACTACACAGGGCTGTTTCTTCCTGGAGATGAGTCACAGAGGAAGTAACATGTAACCCTGCTGAAGGAAACATGAAGTTTGAACACAAACAGTTAATCCTTCCCCTGGTACAAGTGGGTACCTGTGGTACCTCACACTCTGTCACATGAACTGGGAGGGTCAGAAGTCTCTGGTGTTTACCTGCCAGATAAAACATAGCACACCCTAAGGAAGTCTCTCTGTTCATCAGCACTTCCAAATCATCAGCATCACTACAGTAGCCTAGGCCCTTACTTTTAAACTGTTTGTTTAGGCAACCCCAGACAGGCTTCAGAGTGGGCAAACTGGCAAACTGTCCTCCTTCAGCCGACCAACTGTACTGGCATGTTATCTATCTAGTATTTGGCCAATTTCTACTGCTTCCAGTTGCTTCTGAAGCCTGGTAGAGGCTATGACTACTATGAGTGTTTGACAGTGTGGTTCAAGTGCCACCAACTGATGTTTCAAGTTAGTGATACAATAAAAAAATGTAGTTGCAGACATCATGCAGGTGCAAAGTTCGTCTTTTGATTGAGCCTTGGTAACAGGTTAACTAACTAAGGCCACAGCAAGTAACATTCTCCACAGACTCCAAATCTAATGGAAGCGTGTGAAAAAAAAACAAGACCGGCCGTAAAAACAAGGTTCCTACATTTTTAAATTTTGACTCAATCATTGTACAAATGGTTTTGATTCAGTGGGATTCCAAACATCACATATACACAGCCAGCATCACATATCACTGCATCAAAGTAAAAACGAAACATTGACTCACAGTCTTTTCTTGTCTCCTGTCTTCATAGTTATCTGCCATCCACCTTCAGGCATGACAGCAGACATCAGAAGGCATGTTGACCACTGTCAGAAGGCAACAAAATTTCTTTTTTTCCCCCCAAAATCAGACGAAAGCTAATGCGCGCTGATGTCATCCATAAAAATTACTTGCTGTGGCCTAAGTGTAAAATAAACTTGCTTCTTTGTTTTCTGTTTGAGTGACCAATGTGAATGAATCTACAGAAGTATTGAAAGGAAGACAGAGATTAAGGGTGATTCCTGTGCATGTTTTCTGTCATATCAGATGGTGGAATGATTTATTTGCAGGTAAATAACCCAGAAAGAAGCCAGACATCCTGTCATAGGAAGGAAGGGAAGAGTCTGAGGAAGGAACAAATAATGATGTATTTGACTTGTTTCTTTGCTTCTTCACACTTTTCAATGTTTGATGTCATAGTTAACTCATGCATGTGTATTTATCTATTTCTGGTAGAAAATAAAACCTTTTGAAACTTTCAAGATGTGTCCAGCATTCATGCACTGAGACTGGGGTAACAAAGAACTGAGCACTTCAGTAGAACTTTTACCACGGTTTCCGTTAACATGTTGGATGTTTTGTTACATCAGAATTTTGCCTGTTGCAGACGATATCTTTTCTGACACAACATTTGAAAACTACAGACAACAACTTTATATACACAAATATGATCAGTAAAAGTGCTATGTATAATATATTTTGGGTTTCGTGCAGGCACACAGTACGTTCTCCCAATGTGCTAAAGAACTATTGCCTCAATTATACAGGAAAGCAAGAACCAAAGCCGTTGGTAGCATCTCACATTCTCACATGTGATGGGAGTTTGCTGCTGACGTCACACAAATTCTTATCTTTCAGGCATCCTTGACTTCCCGGCACCTTCCAATGTGGTGAAGATTAACATTTGATGAAACAAGGCTGGAAAATTATTCCCAGTAGCATTCGTTACGTCATTCAAAGTTGGGATGTCTGACAAAAAATGTAGAGCCCCTTAGGAAAACTAGTCGACAATTCTGAATCATGTGGAAATTTTGCCTTGAGTTATAACTTTTCAGAGCGGTGTGGTCCACAAAGATCACAAATACATTTTTTACTATCCCCTGGTGGTTGGAAAATTATACCCAGTAGTACTTTTTACGTCACTTGAAGTTGGGATGTCTGACCCAAAAAAAACTGTTTAAAGGTAAAACTTTTTTCCAACACAAAAAGCCTTTAGGGAAATGTTCTCACCTAGAGCTTTCACGACCGGTCACTCTGGTCTTCCTTGGTAGACTGTTGGAGCAAAAGTTTTACCTTTAAACATGTACATGTAACTACCAACACGGTTGAACTTTCATGACAATTACATACATTGTGCTAAGTTAGAAGTCCCTGCAGAGAGCCCAGTCAACAAACTTGAATTGTGTGGGTAACTTTGCCATGCAGGAGTCGCTACTTCTCACATCGGATGAACTCTCATAAATTCCACCATGTTTTGTATCCCAAAGGTGGCTGGAGGCGGAGTTCTCGCTATCGGGATATGGATGCGGATCGACAGAGCGACCTTTGACCCCCTGCTGGGTATAGACTACTACCCCATCGTGTGCTGGACGTTGATCGGTGTCGGCGGGTTCGTCTTCCTCGTCGGGTTTCTCGGCTGCTGCGGCGCCGTCCAGGAGTCCAAATGCATGCTGGGATTTGTAAGTGCCAGAATTCTTTTTCTCTGAACCATCTAGCCTGGATGCCATAACTGTTATGCCTACAAAAATGTGCATCTGTCTGTAGGTGCTCTTAGACCCAATTTACACAGGCAAAAACCTGATGTGGTATACGTAGTGAGTAGTGATTTTTTTTTTCTCAATTAAAAAATTTGACAGCCTCGCAGTGTGCGCTATGACCCACGCACTGAATTGAGCTGGAAATACAAACTGGAAAACAAAATTTCTAATACACTGCTAATTACTGATATCTAAAAGGATTATAGGGATAAAATTTTTCTTTACAGTAACCTGATGATACACAAACTGTGTCCACATGCGAGTGTACGAAAACAGCATGCATTAAATTTTTCCTGCATGTAGATCAGCCAGCTTTGACATTGGTCAAGAACATACGTTTAGATTGTTTGTATGTTACCTCAAGGCCTGGCATTAAATTTGAACATACCGGGTAACTTCTTGGCAAAACAGGCTGATTAACATGCAAGAAATGTACACAGTTTTCACCAAACTCAGACAAGCTGTGTCAACTTTTATTTAAAATTAGTTTAAATTATTGTTTCTTTCTTCCTCCAGTATTTCTTCCTGTTGATAGTGGTGTTTGTTGGAGAAGTGGGAGCTGGGATTCTGGCATATTACTACCACGACGAGGTAAGTAAAAGAAAGTCCCATCTTAACTTGGTTGATGGTAGTGACTTCACCAAGCAAGAGTGCCCTCTAGCAGCAAAATGCAGTACTGCAAGACCAAGGATTTATCTTGTGCAATAAATAATAAGGTCATTGGTTTACCATAGCAGGACAGCAACCAGAAGTAATTCTAAAAGGGTTTCAGATTTTTTATAAACTCAGTGTAAACATGATAGACCATATGTTTTTGGCCAAGTTGTCGGAAATCTTTTTTTAAGAATGCAGTAAAGTTTTTTTAAGTGAACTGAACCAAACTGACTTAGTACAGCAATTCACTCGTATGTTCACGGTAGCAGGGGAGTAGAGGTGGTAGCAGGTGCATAAAAAAAGGAAGTTGGCAAATTACTTTATTTGTTAATGGAATGATTAAATTTCTGGTACAGCCGTGACCATGAAAACTGTGAACATGAAAAAACACGAAAAAGTCAGGAATTACAGTACATGATAAGAAGTGTCCATGGGACAAGTAGTCACTTTCAATCCTATAGTATAACCTTTGGTGAATGTACTGTAATTGCATTTTTATGCAGGTGAGAACGTGGATGGACAGTCATATGAACAGGACCATCAAGAACAACTATGGGTTTGTCCCAGCTGTCACAGCCGCTGTCAACAGCATGCAGGAACAGGTACATGCACAGCAGCTGTTCAACATGTCATTTATTGTCAATATCAATTGCTGTTGCTACATTGTAGACACAAGGCATCATCTTGTGTGTATACTATGAAAAAAATTTGGTACAGGAACAGGTGAGTACATAGACGAAGAATTGTTTCAGAGTAATGCCCCCCCCCCCTCTGTGTTATCTTTGCAGAGACAAGTTATTCTCTTAAGCCCCTGTCACAAATAGCCGAATTTGTCCTCTCGAACATTGCCCCAAACCCCACAACTATGGTTAGGAGTTGCCTATAGTTCAGCTACGCCAACTGAATCTTTCAAAATATGTGAAACATTTGGATGTGGACAGGAGTTTCCATGGTTGCCTGGTGCTTGGGACTAGGTCGGCATTGTTCGGAACATGTTCAGGGATCAGATTTGACTCAAATTTAACTCAAATGTCGTTGGATTACTATAGAAAGTTACGTGTAGGTGTGGCCTAAATCTGGACAGACTGCTCCCAAAATTCAGCCAAATTTGTTTGACTGTTTGGCTGGCGGTAGGGCAAGGTTCTGAAAGTGTGACGGGCTTTTTACTGGCTGTAGGAGAGGGATTCACTAGGCCAGACATGTGCATAGCTCTGGAATAATTGTAATAAATAAGAAAACACAGGAAGTAGTGACACACTTTTCAGAATTTCTGCTTGCAAAATCCTAAAGTGAGCATGCATTTCTTCTTGCTCCAAGTTCTTCATACTATGATATTTGAAGTTCAAAACTTGCCATCTAAGTCTCAGCCAGTTTTCTGTGTTCTTCAGATGAAGTGTTGTGGAGACAGAAGCTACGTGGACTGGATGAGTACAAAATACTTCAAGGAGGGGAAGGCTCCGGCCAACACGTCTGTCCCAGTGTCCTGCTGCAGGGACAAGACTGAAGCTGGCTGCAACCGGGGACAACCTGGGCAACCTGCAGACATCAGTAAAATCTTCACACAAGTAAGCAGCCTTATGAAATAAAGACTCAGCTTTAACTTCCAACACTCTAAGACTACAGAAATGGTACTCTCCAAGCAGAGGTTTGGGTTTTGGGGGTATTTTTAGTGTGTTTTTAGGCTTTTTTATTGGGGTTTCTCTTTTGCACTGAATTTTTTTTTCCACCAAACCCAACTCTGCCGGCACTCACCTCGGGGAGGGGCAAACCTATTCAAAACAGGCGATAGTGCCCCTCCCCGGGAACCATCAAACTGTCATTAGGGATATCCATTTTATTGTGGTGGATTATCACACTTCTAGGCAGTCGAAAAGGCATTCATTGGGCCATACGCCTCCTGCTGACTGTGCCTATTCATGTGTCTGGTTCACACCTCCTTGCAGAACGACTGAAATGTGTTGAAATGATTAGTTTTATAGCCCATTGAAGTTTTCGACTGCCGGCAGAGGTTGGGTTTGGTGGAAAAAAAAATTCAGTGCAAAAGAGAAACCCCAATAAAAAAAGCCTAAAAACACACTAAAATACCCCCAAAACCCAAACCTCTGCTTGGAGAGTACAGAAATGGGACTTACCACAAATTTTCCGTTGACTCCATCAACCTTGTTCACTTCACAACGTGATCTCGCCAGAGTTACGGTTACAAACACGTGACCTTATTCAAACGAGACGTTACTGATACATGACGTGAGCAATTGGTCAAAAGTGCCAGGGAGTTTATATTGTCCGAAGTGATTGGTCGCTGAAAATTTCATCTCTGTGTAAATTGTGTGTTGGAAAAGTTCAACGTTTTTCTATGTCTATCAACGCAGATGAATTTTTATGATAATCTAAATGTACTACTGTTTTTCAGGGCTGCATTCCCAGTATGGAATTGTGGGTACAGGAACAGGTGTGGATCCTGGGAGGAGTAGGAGTTGGTGTGGGGTTACTACAGGTAGGTGTGCTGTAGGTCACTGACCCCGGCTTGACTTTGCGTTATTCATTTATGTATCATTTGCATCCTTATCTGATCATGCTGACTTTGATGGTGCACTGTTTTCTACAGAATGGTCCTCTAGTTAGCCCTTGTCCTGCTGGCATTTTTTACACAATATTTTTTCAATAATTTTATGCCTTAATTGGGTCAAAGACCCCTCACTTTTTTTGCCCTGCAGTGGCATAGTTACTTCCACATTCATTGCGTTTCGCTGCGGTGTGATGCATTGCACGAGAAATGTCCCCAAATCGTACCTATACAGAGTGCTATATAGATGGTACTGTATGTACAAAACAACAATTGTTGGGCTCTGCAGGACAAGGGTTAGAATGAATAACAGTTAGCAGTGTTATCACTTCCTTTTCAGTGTGATAAATTGTTGGATCCCTAGTCAATGAAATAATGTTGAGAGTTAGTGCATAAATTTTTCAGTGTCAACTACTTAATTAAGTTAACTTGTGTAGATATTGTGCATACTTTGTTCAATCAGCATTTCATCCTTACCACCTCTTTCAATTCTTTATTTCCAACATAGTAGTCACCACAATTTCTCAACTTTCTATCTCCATTTGTCATCAGAATTACAACTTTTTTCCACACGAAAAGTTGCTTCTGAACTTCCACTTTTCAGCCAACTACAGAGGTTTTAGTTTTCTTTTACAATGCACAGTGGTTGTTGTAAAATATGCCACTGAGCTTGTGATATTGTCTATGAGTGATTAAAAAAATTACACACCTGAAATGCAAACATTCTTTTGATCATGGATTTCTTACTGTCATCTTAGATATCACCCATTTCTTAAGGCCACAATAATCAAGGAATGAGTTGAGGTCAAAATGTTAAAATGAACTATTCGGTTTGTATCATGTCCAAATCTGAGAAGAATTATCTCAAAGTTTTCTCGATGAAAAAAAAAAAGATTTTAGTGAATCATGGGGGACCTCATCCCCAGCCTTGAGAAGGTGTGGCCTGTTGTCCAACCTGTGGCTGTTCTTCTCTGTGTGCTCCCTCCCCAGCTTCTGGGCCTCATCTTTATCTGCTGTTACTGTAAAGCTATAGATGACTACTATGCCTACTGAAGCCCACCCTCCCCTAGCCGGAGGTAGGTATAATACATACCTCACACAGTTGGGTTCAACTTTAAAACACTGTATGTTCTTGAAATACAATCTACTCAGAACAGGATATTTTTTTTTCAATTTTTTGGCACACACAGTCAGCACAATTTTTCTTGGTGAGCCAGCTGGCTATATATTTTTCATATGTTAAGTCACATACATGTACACTGTATCTATCATTGCATCATCTAGTTGGATTCATCCACTGTTTTCTTTCTATTCCTACTTCATGATCATGACATATTGTACCACCCTTTCTTTCTCTGTGTAAATATGGTGGTAGTGACTATGAATCTCATGTGGTCCTCAGTATTAAGGTGTAATAAATTATGGTGAATCGATGTATATATATTGCTTACATTCCAACGCATTCCACTGTGTCCACAAAGAAACTAGAGCTGCCTGACCCTGCAGGTTGGTAAGTTTTGGCTGTACATGTAGTTATGTTACTTCAAGTTTGGGCATATTCAGCATTATATCTGGTTCATTTGAAGTTCAGTCCAAGCTTGGCAGTAGAGGTGAACCACAAGTTATGGCTACATAACTAGATCAAAACAACAAGACCACAACAACAAGAAGGGCAGATCTCAAACAAGAAGGGTAGACCACAAAATGTTTTTGAGTTACGGCCTCATTTCATCACTTTTAATGATACCCTTTTATTTCAGATAACACTGGGGAAGGATATTATATTAGGACATCCTTGATCTACATGTCCTACATTGTATATAATTCCATTGTAATGAATCTGGTGGGGGTGGAGGTAAAAGACTGGTTTGCTAATAAGAGCAAAATCAGAGCATGCTTTATTGTACATTTTGTACTATGAAGATTCTTCTTTAATCTACCCATTTTTTTTGCTCACAACAGACTTGTTTCTATAGCCTATTTTATCTGATGAATATGTTCATGTTACCTTTCGTTAATGGTCTTTATTAACTTCCAGCTGTTTGGAATGGTCTTCGCCTGCTGCCTGATGAAGGCTGTGGAAGATGAGTATGAATGATGGGAAGGCAGCAAGGAATCCTGGGAAGGGCACAAGGCATCCTGGGAAAGATGTGTAGGGAATCCCTGGAAGAATCACAAAGGAACTCTGTTCCAGATGCCAGATATATATTTATATAGCTTTAATTTTTTCATGTACTACAATAGTACAAATATCTATGAACTCATCGCTGTGGAGGTCCACAAAATTTATGATTTTGAATAAAAAATGATAATTCAATGTACAATGTACCTTTACTTCAATCTACCATATTCTTTTTGTCTCATTGTCAATGTGAAAAAGCCATTTACTAAAACATTTAGTCGCTGAAAGATGCAACCTTTGTTATTTACTACACATTAGATTTTGTGTATTGATTAATATGCCAGTATAGATGATCGCCAATGTTTTTCTTGCCAACATTTTTGCACTTGCTTCCTCCTATGTTGCAAAATAATAGGTGCAAATTGTTCCTTTTGTTCATACAATGTATAAGGTGTCCTTTGAACTTGATAGGCCATAGGATATACAATCAAAGGTTGGCTTTTTTAAAAACGAAAATGGTACTCTATTGGGTCATGATTTTGTGGATTTTGTAGTTTATAGATTGTACATAAATTTACATGTGATGTCATTTTGTAGAACACAAAATGTGACATATCATCATTCTCCATACCTCTGCAAACACTGTGTACCTTTCTTCTTAAAAAAAAAGAATGAAATGAGAAATGAATTATATAAAGAAAACTAGAATTCCATGGACACAATGAACAATTGGTTAACAAAAGTCCAGGTCTGATAACGACATGTACAGGACATGAGCATAAAATGTTTTTATTCTGTCTTGACTTGAATGTCTACAGATATGTTGAATGTTTGTAACAAATGTAGAGGTAGAATTATTAGTAACAAATCTATGAAAATGTACATCAATAAACAGTGACTATCTGTAGGTCTTGTATATGCTGTTTGGTGTAATTTGTTATCAAAGTTGTGCGCAGTTTGGTAGATCACTACAAACAACTGTGGAGACACATAACTTGAGAAAACAACAAAACTACAGTACCTAAAGCCCTGTCACACACAGAACCTTCCCCTAACCACCAGTTGGCTGAAATTCGGAGCAGACTGACCAGATTTAGGCCATGCCTACCTTTCTATATGAATGAAATCAAATTTGAGTTAAATGTGAGTCAAATTTGACCCTTAAGCTGAACCTAAATGTCTGGACTTGAATCCGGACCTGAACCTAAATGTGGGTTTAGGTACACAGCTCATGTTGCTCCTAACCATGGTTGGGAGGAGTTCAGCAGTGTTCAGTAGTAGGCCATGTGTGACAGGGGTTTAACTTGAGCATGGAAATCAGCACAGTACATAATGTGGTCATTTTTGTAAGAGAAGAAATTAAAAGGCAAAGTTCTCTTAGAGGAGTGTTGACTACAGAGAAGAATACAATAATTTTCTAACAAAAAGTGAAATCAGTCACAGTGTACATGTTTAAGCATTTGGTGGATCGTGATCTCTTGGTTCCGACTAAAAGTATGTCTAGCAGGGTAGATACTACATGTACAATGTACCTTTAGTTTAAAGATATGATAGTACATAGCATTGGGGTGTGTGACACTATATAGTCTTTACTGGCTGTATAGAACACGTACCTGTGTAGGTAATAGGTACATGTCTTGTTTTCACATTTGAAATGCAGATGTATTTTAGAAATGAGATGATTTGAAAGGACCAACAAAATGGTGGGCACAGTATCAAAGCAACATCTACAATTATGTATGAGCAGCTTTTCAGATAAGTGCTATGGTTAAAGAATCCTAAACAACTCCAAAGTTTGTTTGCTGCATCAAAGTGTTTGATACTTTGATTAACTGAAGAGTAATTTGAAGTTTGCTTATACAGTTGCACTATGTATATGCAAATGTTATGTAATCTGAGGTATAACCATATGAGATATCACTGGTAACAGCCATGATTTCCAGCCATCAACAAAACGTGTTTGAATTCAGTTAAGGCCACACCAATTTAATTTGTTGTTTTTCGGACTCCCCCCTGTCAATTTTTTTCCAATTTGCAAAATGCTCAATCAAAGACATATTCTCGCCCCAACGTTGAAGAAAGTCCTTTTCTTCCTAGCTGTTAATGCAACAATGCAACTTTGTTTCATTAAAAGTTCAAAATCTATTGTTTTAATTATGAGATATTTTGTGTCCAGTGTGCTATGGGTCTGGCAACCAGACTGATATTGTAACATTTCTGGCTATTATGGGGTGCCATGGCATGTTTTTTTGGGGGCCCTGTCGCTTCATATTTTTCCTGAAAAAATCTGAGAAACAACAAATTAAATTGGTGTGGCCTTGATAATGTTGAATCTTGTAATGTAAAGAAAAGATTGCAGCTGACTACATGCTCGAAAAAAGATACCAAATGCCTGTGATCTGTACCTCAGACGTGTGCCTCAAACAACAAACCTCAGGCTTGAAGTGACACACTAATTTCACATTCCTTTTTTTTGCTGTGTTTTATAGTTCTAGAGATTTCACCAGCAATTGGGCCTCCTGCTTTTTAGCAGTGTTAGGCCGCACCAATGTAATTTGTTGTTCCTTGACTTCTTGCAAGAAAAAAAAAAGATTCTGGTTCTGAATCAACTAAAAATGCTCATATTTTACCCCCAACAGTTGAGGAAAGTCCTTCCTAGTTGTTACAGTTTTTCCATCTATCAATGCAGTGGTTTCATTAAAACTTCAAAATTCATTGTTTGAATATTAATCCAGCCTTTTGTGTTTACTTCATGGCTCGTATCATAGCATTTGAGGCTATAATAGGATGCCTAGACCTGTTTTTATTTTTATTTTTTTCATCCTGTCACTTCATATTTTTTCAGGAAAAAAATCCAAGAACCAACAAATTAAATTGGTGTGGCCTTATATAGAACAGTGTTGTGATTATAAGAACTACAGAAGCATTTTACCACAGTTGTCTCAGAATTCAGACATTCAGCTAGTAGTAATGTTAGTAGAAGCAATAGTCTACTTTTCTGAAATTCTAGATATGATAATGTATAAGGATCGAGGCCCCAAAACTTTATAGAGGCCCATGTGTGCAAAAAATCTGCAATGTTACATGTGGAAGGTTTCATTCAATTGTCACAAGTGAAAATACAGTGGTGGTGAGAAGTATAGCTAAATCCTTGGGTAGTTCCAAAGGTTTTAAGGGTGGCCAGTTAAGTATTTTGTAGGTTGACGTTTACTTTTCAACCATTTTGATTTGAAAAAAAAAAGTCTTCTTGACCCTGCCCAACTTTGTAGATGGAATAGCCCTTGAATGTGGAATACACTGTGCAGTTGACAATGTGTACAATCCTTGGTGCGGTAACAACAAGATTTAAAAATTACAAACAATTTCCTATATATAGTCTACCGATGACCGTGGAAGCAGTGTATTTTTATACAGAGCCAGTAACAAAATTGGAATAAATGTTGTGTAAATGTTTTGTGGTTGTTCTTTTTGCCTATAGGTACACACGTCTAGCCTATTGCTGTTTTAAGATTTTACGTGAGAAATTTACCTTATAACATGAATTTTGTGATTTTTTAAACTACTATGAAAGATAAAAGAAAGACATAATGCGAATAGTTACGTGGTGCCAAACTCCAACTGTTGACAATTGAAACTATTTTATGGTTGTTTGAATGGATGAAAGATGTGGATACTAGTGGTTTGGCAACTTTGACAAACGGGACATGAGTTCACAAGCAAGCAGATCTACGGATTAAATCTATATAAGATGTCCGGTAGCCTCCTTCGCAAACTTCTTGGAGCGGCACGTTTATATTTTGGGGAGCATACCCTGGGAGCCAGACTTGTATAGGGCCGTTAGCCGGTTTCCTTCAGTAGCCCAGAGCACTACGCCCGTCTAAATTACAGCTACGGGGAAATTGAGCCCGGGGGTAATAAGAGTGCTCGACTCGGAAGCAAGAGGCCCCGGGTTCGAGTCCTGACATACAAAAACATCAGTTGCATTTCATGACTAGACATGGCGACGGCACACTCAAGTTATGATATCAACTTATTTTATGCCACCGCCAACGCAGAGGATACATGTAAATACGGGACAGGACGATACTCATTTTCACTTCTTGAGTTTTAAAAGTGAGGAAAGTCGTGCAAAGTGCCTTTCCCGAGGGCACAAGATCGATGGCTTGTCAGGACTCGAACCCGGGACCTCTTGGTTCCGAGCTCGAGTCTTATCTGCCGTTACGCCACACGACCCCACATAGTAATAGAGTTGACCTACTCCCCTTGGCTCATGTCCCCCGTAGCGGTTCGTCAAGAAGAGTATCAAGAGATCACATACCGGAGGAGTTGGTCCGCTAGACAGTACAGTTGCGTGCGGCAAACTGTACTCTCTAGACTAGCGGACCAACTCCCCTGGCATGCTATCTAATTCTACTTTTTCCAGCCGCCTCCCGAAGCCTGGTAGAGGCTAATCGCCCCCAGACTCATCTGACTGCACTCTCCAAATAACAACACATCGAGACTCCAAAAATGTAGACAATTGACCCCATAAAACCATATTACGAGAAAGATATTCATATTCATATCGTAGTAGATTCCCCTACAACAGTGAAATCTTTTGGAGTTTATCTAGCATTTTCGTATGCAATTTAGTGTTTCCCAAAGCCGAGTTTTACAAATTAAAGCATTACGGTAGAAGTCCAGGTTTTTAGAGTACTGAATTAAGAAGATTAAAAAAAATGTGTTTCCGTTTACATCTTTGAAATTGAAACACATCCTCCTTTGGAAGCATTATCTGATACCAGCCCAGAAAAGAACAAGAAACAGTCATGCTTTCAAATATCAGAGTTATCAACCAAGAATTGAGGTGTTCAAAAACTCGTATTTCCCCAGAACTATCGTATACTGGAACTCGTTGCCACTATGCACAGTTGGGGCATCATCACTAGAAGTAGAAAGCTTTAAACAACTCTTGCAGTTAAATGTGCAAAGATTGAGTGTAAGAAGTCGTTCGGTGTGATATAGCTAGCTGCCGCCGCGCCGCGTGCCTGCGAAGCTGTTGTGTTACGCCGAAGGGCGGTTATACCGGCTATACTGATACAGATACAGATAAGATACAGATCCTTATGTAACCTGTGTCTTTTTCTTCGCTTGTGTAATATTTAGTCAACAAGACTGGCAATGAAAACATACATTGCCATGGCGACGGTGGTTGCTGTTAGGGTTATTGTTTGCATGGCACTGCCATCATTTCATGATTTTGAGGAAGCCTTGGTATCTGTTAAGTCTAGACAGATACAGTGCACACCTCCCCTGAGTGTATATTGAACGAGCCCCAGGCTCACAGAAAGTAGGGCCATCTGGGACAGACAGATCTTCCTAAGGGTTCCAGGAATGTGGGTATAGATGTGGGTCAGAGAAATACCTGTGGACATTTCGCATGCCTGTGGACAAAATGCCTGTACCATTCCTAGAATTCCTTGCAAACTGCACACAATACTGTACCATTAGGCTCCTCCCTGAGACGTCGCCAAAAATG